GAGTATGGAAGGATGATGAAACTTGATAAGACTGCAGATGTTTTCTAAATCCTAAAGAGTTTTTCTTTTCAGAGAAACCATGGTCACAATTTCGATAGAGAACCAAAACCTCTACAGAGGCGAAGTAGTTCTGCTGAAAGAAACGCCAAACGTTCAAAGTCTATGGAGCACCAACACAAGAGCAGGTCTCGTCGCAGTCGTTCTCGATCCAAAGAGAGTAGAATTCGTCGGAGCACCTCATCTTCGTCGGTGGATGCAAAGGAAAAGACGTTGTCATCGGCGAAGGGGAGCTCTAGATCAAAGCGTCGTCGCAACAGTAGCTCATCATCTTCAGAGGGAGATAGACGTTCTAGAAACAGTACAGCAAGGCGTTATGACCGTGGCCACATGAGGTCCACATCAAAGGAGCGGGAGCAAAAGTATTCATCTGCACGAAGTAATCGAAGAAGGACACCGTCTCCAAGGCTTTCGAGGAGTTCTGGATCAGCACGCAAGAGGCGACACAGCTCCGCATCAGTGTCACCGAAGAGAAAAGAGGAGAGGAGGTCGTCGAAGACGAGGACAGAAACATCACGCGACGCCAAAAAGGAACGTAGCCGTGGACGAAATCGAACTAGTTCTAGCTCATCGGAAACTTCCTCCTCTTCGTCGTCGCGCTCAGTGTCTTCTGAAAACAGAGGAAAGGTGCATTCAAAGGAGAACCAGGACCGGGGCTCCCATAGCAGTTTTGTTAAATCCTCAAAAGTGGATGACGAGAAACTCGAGGAATCTGATGATCACAAGCCCGGAGAAGCGTAAGTTATTGACCGCTTTGTTGTTTTTCGTGTTGCTATTTCATATTTAAACATGAACAGTGGATTCAGATGTACGTCAGAACAGAAGGAGAAGGAAATGGATAAGTTGCGGACGTTCGACTCCCATATACCCGAACATCTCCGACCAAAGGTATTCTTGTGCGTTGTGCGCAGAGAGGCGCAAGCCGTCAGCACCATTCTCATAACTAGTATGCTTGTATTAGGGCAGTGCAACAGACAGCGAAGACGAAATCGAGGATCAGTTCGATCGCGAAGAAAGGGAGCGCAAAAAGCGTTTCGAAGGATTTGGCCTCGTTGGGGTTTGTTTGCTTAGTACTTTCTCATATGCTCTTTTTTTCTTGAAGACTCCTCACTTCTCTTTAGGCGAAGAAGAAGGACGATGAAAGTGGTCCTACCGAAAATCCCTACGAGTTGTCACGAAAGCCTGCTCTTCCTGTTTACCAGGTATTCTTACTGTTTACTGCTTAGTTTCTTTTCCTAAGAAGTGAATAATTTGAAGGTTGTACTATACGTATACTAAACTATACGTTTTTGCTATCTCTTATATGCTCGCCAGTCCGCAAGTTTAAGACCACGTTCAGTCATAACGACTGGGGAGATTCGCTGAAGCAAGAGATTGCGCCGAACGAGGAGAAATAATGTATGGTCTAGTAATGGGGAAAGTGGGCGAGCTGGCGTTGTGGGCGATTGCGCGCAAAAGGAGTAGATGGGTATCGAGGAGCATCAATGGATGGCAGTTGCCGGATCCGGTTTTTTGACATTCTGCTAACAATGGGATATTCATGCCAAAAATGTTGATTTGGCACGCTTGCTTTTGTATGTGACAGCACAGCGTTTCTTAACGAAGAAATATACTCATGGCTCACAAGGCTGCCTCATCAGGTTTCCGAAATTCCTTGGCCTCACCTTTAACCTCATAAAAAGTTCCCTTTGAAATACTCGGCTGTCAAATTGAGCCTGGATGCTAGCTGTAGTTTTATGACCAGTATCTTGTGAAACGTTTTGACTACCATAGCGGGAATGTGCGGCGAATGTGGTGTAGCCGCAGTCGACACGATTACCATGGGCGTAATCTGAGACTCAAATCACATATAGCCTTCCGCCGAGGTCGATCTGTAGTTCTATACTCCAGGTAGACGGTACATTGGTACCAGATTTGTGTGCGAGGATAAAAACACTGAGTTTCTGATCGGCTGGCTCGACCAGTCACTACTTAAGCCTTGTCGCAATCGATAATTGAACTATTAAGTTAAAACTTTTAACTCACTGGTTTCCCGAAAAGCTAGATGCTCCAGTCTCTGCCATCAAGCCTGCCGAATGCGAGGGCTACTAGTTCAAGGGTAAATTGAAACAGCTGACTTACGTGCTAAAATTTATACTGAGAATTCCCGACAGCTTTTGGTCCAGAGATTTTGTGTGTAGTGGTTCTGTCTGATTTGTGCCTTGCATACATTTTGTATGTCTCAGATTTCAAGCCGCTTCCATAGATTCCTGTTGCAGCACACTTATGCGTGCGTGACAGTAATCAAGCCACTACGATTCTGCTTAGAAGTAAAATGCGTGCCGCATCCTGAAAAGGGTTTATCAAAGCATTAGCCTCCTTCAATTAATCTGCCAACCCGCTGCTCAGTTTCACTTATAATCCCCATTTCCTGGGCTACTCCGAATGCGTTTTGAGGATTTTTATCCTCGGCTCCGGATGCCTCGCCCATTGTGGGCGGAGCATAGGTTCCCTTGCGTGTGCTCTGCAAATGTTGGCCCATGCCACATCTATTCCAAGCACAATCAGTTCTCTAATCGTTCCTGAATGTGAATTTTCGCGAACCCCCAACGTTCAGGCGGTCACACGGACACACAGACAACTTCTTTCACAGCCCTGTCAGTTTTGAGCGCACCCAGAGTGCAGTAAATAAATAAGTAAAAATAAAAAAAGATAAACTTCTGATTGATACATAGCGAAACTATCCTTCATTCTTTCAGTTCTCGGAGTGCTCATTAACATTCTTGCAGAAATCTGAACGTCGTCGCCCACTTACCGAGGAAGAAAAGCAAGCGAAATTGCGGGAGATGGCTGAGAATGCGGCATGGCGGCAAGCCACACGTAAGTCAAACCTGAAACGTGCTCAGTTGGCTGAGGAAAAGGAAGATGAGGAAGACATGAAGGACAAAGCTCCCAGCTTCATTAGGTTTGTTCGTTTGCGACATTTACACAAGGTTCAGCTGACCATTAGAAATATTTTCTTTGAAGGAGCCAGCTGAATAGTGCCGCAAATGATCTCACAGTGGAGCAGCGATTGCAAAGCAACAAGAAATCTCTCCAGCGTTCTCACGGTTATATGGAGAAGAAATTCACCTCTAAATAGATGCAAGTATCCCAGGAATTCACGCCTTTCAGTGCTGTTTGTTACAATTCTGTATTCTGTCAGTGTAAATATAATAAATTATTGTAATGTGACGACTGTTCAATTCAAAATTTCAGCGTTCCTATGTAACGGGCACGGACGACCAGAGTAGTCAGGGCATAGTCGGAGATTACCCAGTCTCCGCTGATAAAAGTGTGCCTTGCCTGAGGGAAAGGGATACGGAAGGCTGCCGAGTGGGTCAGCAGTGGTTCCACCCCTGCCCCACCGCCACTCTCCCATATGTACAGGGGGGGTTGTGCAAAAACAAGACTTTTTCTTTAATCCGAGGCGCTGAACAGTTACACTTCGTAGATAATCTCTGATCGGACATATCTCTACACATACTTAAAGGCATCATTAAACATTATCATGATAGTCCCAACAGCCTTCGGAAGGAGCGCCATCGAGAGATTCTGCCACGCGACCGTGACTGAGTGCCTGAGTACAGCGGGATCGTTGACTTCGCCACCGTAGACCACCCTATTGAACCTTCTTCAGGTCTCAACGCTCTTCCATTCCAAGCAGGTGAGAGTTTTTCCAAAGCCGTTCGATTCCTTGTGGTGTCACCCAATCCTTCTGTAGCAGCTGCAAAGTTTCCAAGAAGGTACGGGCGGCAACATGTGGGAGGATATTCTTTCGATGTAACCGCCAGCGCTCACCTTCAGTCCGGGGCCCACGAAGAAAATATCGGTCTCTCCATTCCAGGTACGTCCGGTCCCCACCATCAACTGGCGCCTTGGCGACTGAGGTGAAGATGATGTCCTAGACCGTAGCGACGTTGACGGAGCTGCTCGATGATGGAGGTCTTCCAGATCGAGAGTACTGGTCTCCAGGTAGCTATCCATGGGTGACTCCATACTAGAAGTTTCGCAGCTGTTTGGAGGTGACATGAATTCCAAAGGTCTTCTCCAGTCAGGCTGCGACTGGAGATGACTTCATATTTTGGTGTACATGAAGGTGATGGGTGAGAGCCAGCTCCTGCTTATAGAGGAACATCTTGGGTATCTTCCGCCCTGGTACTCGTATCCACGTCCTCTGTCTGGGCTGCGAAAACTTTGCTGATATGTGACTCGGTCGAAATGTCTTTTTTTTGCCTCCCCCTGTAGAGCACGGAAGAGTGCCTTTATTCCGCCGAATGATACGGCTGATATATTCGAGGCGGTTTCAAGAGGGATGGAATGGGCGCATCCTTCTAGTTTCCACAGCTGGTTGTTGTCTTTCCGAATTTGATCACCAAACGATCACCATTGGTGGAGCGTGGCAGCCGGAGAACAACTCGTTCCGTCTCTCCTGACAACGCCCTGTCTGATTGCGACTTCATCAACGCAGGTTCGTGTAGAAGCAAAAGACACATTCATCACCCGCGTGGTCCGCGTGGTCGAGAGTCAGACCCCAGATCGCCTACAGCATTCAAACTTCGCGATCGCGTCGCTAGGCGCCTACCTCCTCGGCTAGCTATGACCACTCTCCTGAGTCAACTTCTAGGTACCAGATTTGTTGAGAGCATTCTGAGCATTAAAACATTAATTGAGGTAGAACAGTAATCGGCGACATTAGTCGATCAATGATAAATACGCATTCGACTTTGACGAGCGTATAAATCAAAGGAGGGCTGAGGAGAAATAAGTGGTGCTGTAGAACAATATCTACCCGTTTTCCGAAAAACAGTAAATTAGTTCGTGGTCCTGCACCAGGCGGACAGTTGTTTTTTTCGCAACCTAAGGACGATGAGATAACGTTCTCATGTCGGACTACTGAGAAAAACTTCCATAGCAAATGTACCAAGTCTGGGAATCCTTATAATGAGCGAGGAGAGGATGGAATTCACTGAGTCTGAGAACAAGGTCCAGATGGCTGCCTGCGTGATTGAATTATCGTAGTGCTCTGATTGCGGGGTCATTTGTGTGAAGGCGGTATCCTTGCAATGTTGTGGTCCTGACTCCGAGTATTCTATTCTCCTTCCGAAGCTTACTTTGTAGTTTTACTTCTTCT